CCGCTACCGCGGCTTAAGTCGTCGTCATCGCAACCCCCTAGTCCTCCTGGTAAGAGATCTTGCGCATCTCTCCTAGCCGGTGTCTTGCGGCCGAGAGGGAGTTCTCCAATTGCAGAATCTCGACCTAAAAGTGGTAGCGCCGCACGCGTCAGCATTTCTCTTTTCTCTTCCAGTCGCCAAGCAAGGCACTAGCCGCAAATGACGAGCATGGCTGCGACGGAGTTGTCTCCGGCCACCGGCATCCCACGGCAGTTGGCACAGTTCACGCCGCGAATCAAAATTAAACGTACCTGTTGCTCCATCTCGCGGACCTTGAACTCGTGGGCTCCGAGCTTGGAGTAGTCGACCGCCTCATCCTCCGCATTGCGGTCCTTGATCATGTTCTGCACCTGGCGCACAAGGGCCCTGCATGCGGCACCGACAGCCTTGCTGGCCTGCTCGAGATTCTCTTGGCTCTTGGACATGAAGCCAGCCTTGACTCTGCTGGCGGCGACGAGCTGAGCCGTGGAGGCTGCCACGTCGTTAGATGCCACGATGAGCTGCTCAGGGCTGTTGCGGTTCGACAAGACGCCGTCTGCGGTCTCGATCAGGGTGTTGGTAGAGTTCGCCACGGCCTTGGCGGCTGAAATGAGACCCTCGGTCCATCTGTTGTTCTTCTTGTAGAAGGCGGTTCTCGAGGACGAGCCGCGGCCCGCCTGGACAATCTCCTGCTGCGTCACCGTGGCGGCCTTGATCAGCTGCGCGATGGCATTGGTGATGGCCATAGCGGCATCGAGAATGCCGTCGTGGACCTTGAGCTCGTAGGAAGAGTATCCGTCGCGAGGCTTGTTCTTCAGCTTGGCGAGACGAGCAGCAGCGGCGGCAATGGCATCGGCCGCCTTGCTGAGTTCGGAATCGACAATGTCGCCCAAGTCGCCCTTGCCTGCGAGCTTGCCAGTGTTGGGTGCGAACGTCTCGACGAGCTTGTTCAGCTTCTGAAGGTTCATCTGCACCTCGTTGTTGCTGTTGATGACGACATCCGTCTTCTGAATGGGATCCATGCCCTCCAGGCGGAAACTTTGAAGGCCGCGGAAGAACTTGACGGTGGAAGAAGCGGACTGTCGAGTGCCGTTCATTAGAGCATCGCTCTTCTTCTCGTCGGTCGCGAGGCGGGTGATACCCTTGGCATTGCTGCACACATCTGCAAGAGCGCCAGCAAAAACGTTGATGGCCTTGATAAGCTCGGCGTGTGTCGCGTTGGGACCGTCGGCAATGAAGTTATTGAATGCCGTAGCAAACTCCATGGCGCTGGAAGAGGCCTTTTCAATCTGCGAGAGCACGTATGATGGCGATGCGTTCTGGTTTCCGGCCTGCATCGTCGAGTCCAACTCGTACAGCGCATCGTCAACTCTCTGCACGCCGGATTGTAGCACAGAGTCGATGATATCGTTGATCTTGTCCAGGTTAGCCATGATCAAGGCGTCAATCTGACCGTCAATGACGGTGTCGGTATCGCCCTGGTTCAACTTCAGCTCATTGAGCTCGATAAGCGTCTGGTCCATGCCAGCCTTGTAAACTTCCAGCTCCTCCTCCTTGTCGCGGAGAAGCTGCTCAAGATCTGAATCGCCATTCCTGATCTTGGCCTGGGCGTCGTCCAGAGCACGAGACTTGAGACGCAGGGCCTCCTCGAGATCGGCCATCTCACGGTTGTACTTGGACAGCATCGTTGAGAGCTCGTTTCCTTTGCTTCTCTCAATGTTGTCGGCACGATCCAGAGCCATGCGCAGCTCTCGCTTGAGCTTTTCGAGCTCATCCTTGTTGGCACCATGCAGACGGTCCTTGTCATGGAGAGCGCGGTCTCTCTCTCTAATCATATCAGCAAGCTCGAGGTTCTTTGTCTTGATCTCTCGCTCAAGCTTCTCTCGCCGCTCAATGGCCTCCTGAGCCGAGGCAGCCTTGAGCTGCACAGACTTGAACTTTTGGAGCAGATCCAAGTGCTCGTGGCGAAGTTGGGAGTACAGCTTTGCGAGCGCCTCATATTTCGTCCGCCACGTGTTGACCTGCTCCTGTAAAGCTCTGATTTGCTCATCTTTGCTCGTGATCTGCTGGCCGTAATGTCCCTGGATCTGTGCCAGCTCATTCTCCAAACCCTTGACCCTCTGGTCGTATTGCTGGAGCATAAGCTGATCACGTTCATATTGGGCCCTCGCATTGAAGTTCTCCTGTTCCAACTCAGCAAGCCGACCCTGGGTCTGATACTGCATTTGTTGCTGCATCAGAGCCTCCTGCTCCCTGCGCTGCTGCTCCGCCAATTGTCGCTGTTGCTCCTCAAAGTCCCGTTGCGCCTGCTGCTGCGCCTGCTGCTGCATCAACATCTGCTGACGTTGTTGTTCCTCAAGGACTCTCTGCTGCTCTTCGTACTCTCGGTTCTGGCGCTCCAGCTCGTTCTTCCAGAATTCGGAAATATCATCTGGCTCCTGTGATTTCGGTTCAGGGGGTGGAGTGGGGCGTCTCTCAATTTCCTGCTTCGGGCGCGCCGGAAGTGCAGGTGCCTCGTCGTCTTCCGCCAACAAGTTGGGAGGGTCTTGTGGCAGCTTCGGAATCGTGATCAAGCTGGTCAGATAGCGCAGGTTTGAGCACTCGTAGTAGAACTTGACAAGGCGGTAATGTTGAGCATCGTATCTTTCTCGTAGGGGCGAAAGCGCCTCGACGTCGCCGGTGGCTGTACCCGATTAGCGAAATCACCCTTGTCTGCCAAGGGGGAGGGGGTCCGATGCAACTTACTCGAGTGCATGGCGCGAAGCATGCTTGTGATGAACTTGTAGATGCCGTAGCTCTCCTGCACAAGGGGCACGAGAGAGGAAATGCGACACTCATTGTTTCCAACATGACGGAAGTGCGAGAAGATCAACTTCTGGAACTGTTCAATCTTATCTTGCAGTGTCATCAAGTCTGTGATTGTCTCGTACCCCTCGTTGGGATCGTTAATAGCCTTTAAGCTGAGGTACTCCTCGTACTCGAAGGTGCCGTTAAACTCGGGATGCTGCTGGTGGAAAGAGAGCTTCGCCAGGAGGTAGTAAACGTATTCCCGGATCAAAGGGCTGTATCCGCGCACTCCCTCTCCGCCCATACCGCGGTTCAAGCTGTCGATCCAACCTCTCTGCGCCATAGCCTCCCTCAGGGTGTTCGGGTGTCCTTCTTGGAGTACTTTATGGACCGTGATCAGAGCTTTGAAAGTCTGCACTTCGTCGGCAAGGATGGGTTGGCTACAACGTGGCACTGTCTGTCAGCGACCGGCTCATCTCGACTTACAATGGTGTTCACTTACACCTTCATCCCAGCCCAGAAGGCCTGGGAAGACCGGTGGTCCCATGTGTACACGATGCAGCTGCGCACATGTTTCCGCTTCGGCGCCGTCTCGTCGGGGTTCGTGGCCTTCTTGATGTTGATCGCCAACTCCTGGTCGGTCCTTCACAGCATGTCAGTGCACTGTCGCAAAGGCGGAGAGACAGCCTCGACTGGGCCACAAAGTCTCAAGGTAATTGAGAATGACGGACTTGGTATGCCTGGTATCGGGCACGGCAGCCATGATGGGCGATTTTCCGTGCGCGGGGTCGTTGGTGTTTGTCGGAGGTGAAGGGCGCTTAATGGGGGTTTCGGATGGTTCGAGGAAATGACGTCTCCCGACGGTTTAAGGAGATAGCTCCACGTGCACGCAATGCTGCCCAAGAGTCGCAGTGAAGCCCAGGGTCAGATCTGAGGAAAGGATCCGTAGAAATTGGAGGAGGAAAAGATATCGTGAGCGACTTCCGTGCCAAGTGGGAGAGGCGGGAAAGAGTCGTCAGCGTTGACCAAGCTCCCGAGATGTCTAGAGCAGCTTGAGTGTGGCTGGGTTCTGCAACATGCGCAAGCTCCCGGGATTGCGCCAAGCCGTCGTCGTAGGTTGCGATCCTCCACTTGGTTTAGGTTGGGCATGGAATCTGGAACAATGCTAATCCGGCGGACGCAGCGGTGTCAGTGTCACCCCTCCAGCGTCCCAGCGGAGGCAAAGCACCTGAAGCCACAGGCCGATGCCTGTCCGATCTAATCCAATGACGATAATGGTGGGGTTCATGCCACCAGAGTTGGCTCCAAAGGCCCCTGCGCCGTCAGTAAATGAGCGTTGGATTCCAATGAAGGAGAGGACGTTGCACGGCTCTCCCAGGTAATTCGAGTAATTAATAGAAAGAAGCATTGGAGGAATGCATTGATTGGTAGTTCCGTTCTAACTAACGTGGAAGAAAGGTAGAAGTTATAGTTTTGCTTCTGGAACGCAGTCACAGAAGCGCATTGCATGTATCATGTCTGAACTAATAAGCTCGTGTCAGTGGCTAGGACTCGACCCTCAAATACTAGCTGGTGCTCTTGAACGTATTGTAAAATGTGTAGAGTTTGACATCAGAAATTCTGACATGAGCACACACAGCTATTTCACACGTAGTTGATGTTGAGGGTGGCAGATTAATAACTTGCTGGCCACTAGCTTACAGAGTACCATTAGCTCAAGTCAATTGAAGGAGTTGACCCCATCCAAACTTGTTGATGCAACGGCTCCAACACTGGAGCGGTTCACAATGACATGTTTGCACATGGTAAATGATCATAGATCGTGTTCTTCATTTGACTGAGGGTATCATGAGGGCCCGGCGGGCAGCAGAGCCAACTATTCGCCTGCCTTTCACAGGCATCCCACGTTGACCTTATTTCCCGCGAGCACACAACACCATACACTAGAACCTGTGCCAATGCCTCCGACCTAACAATGACAGGACCCGAGGCATCGCGGCAGGATCGCAAAGGGGCCAACGGGTCTCACAGGCAGCATTTCCTCGTGTAGGTGTGAACGATGAAGTGTCATTGGATTTTTTTTCCCATTCCCTATGGACGTTGCCGAAAACGTGATGCCATTCCATGCTAGAATTCTTCCGTTCCTCACGTAAACACCACATGCAAAAGAACCCACAAACCGCCCAAAAGACACTCTAAATCGTCGTCTCGTAGGGGAGAGGGGTGACCGTCTGGGGCTTGTTCTCCTTGAAGTCGACGGTGCGGGCGTCACGGGGCATGAGAGGAAGGCGCTTGAGGGTGAGGGCCTTGCCCTCGGCCTGGGCCTTCTTCTTCAAGGCAGCGTTCTCCTTGACGCGGCGGATGAAGTCGTCTCTCGAACGGGAGGGGGAGATGTGCTCGACGCGGATGTTGATCCGCTTCTCGATGTAGCGGTGCTTCACCTTCTTGTAGATGATGATACCGACGGCGGACTTGGTGACGTTGTAGATGACACCGGTCTTGCCGTGGTAGACCTTGTGAGGCATACTGTAATTCGACAAGTCAGCCCTCTCTTCCTGCGTGTATTTCGCCCATGTTCGCAATTCCTCCCAACCAAGACTTCCAGTCTTCCAATTGTCGCAATTCGAATTCGAGGGCGGGTTTGTTCGCTTACCCCTTCTGGACGGCACCGTTGGTCTTGATGTCGACGATATCTCCGACTCTGTACTGGCGAAGGTACGTGGAGAGCTTGATCATACCCTTCTCACGGAAGTTTCTGCTGAACGCATACTGCAAGCTAACCGTCAGCAATCCGGCCGCAATCTCGAGATAGTTCGTAGCTGGTAATACGTACGCGCGTTCCCGCGCGAAGACCCGCTGGGTGACCCATTTTGCCGGAGTGGTTGTCGTAGAGGGCGGAATTTGGTGATGGTGTTGTCGGGTCTTGAAAAAGATCACGAAGTTCCAGACACAACAGGCAAGGCAAAAAATCGGCGACGTGTGTGTGCTTTGCTGACTCAGTCCCGTAATTCTTTTTTCGTTGTGGAAAAGGGCACTGCACGTGACCCTAGGCGAACAGGACCCGCATTTTGACAGGCGCTAGTCAGCCCTCGCTCCCCACAGCCATTTTTCGCATTGAGTGTTGCAAGTTTCACGAGAGGCTCTTCTTTTTTTCCTTTTCGTTTTCTTCGTCAACCACAATTCGAAGGATATCGACGAGTCGGCAAGATGGCGCCGTAAGTAGACTGATTCTCAGTCGCATCGCAGAAATCAATATGCTAATTCGATCTTGCGCAACAGCCTCACCTACTCCAAGACCTCCAAGGTCCCCAACCGTCCCTTCGAGGCCGCCCGTCTGTCAGTATTCTCCGGCCACTGAACAAGAGCTTGCTCTGTTTAAGTCGTGAATCACACCACTGACTTCGATACGATAATAGTGACTCCGAGCTTAAGCTCGTTGGCGAGTACGGTCTCCGCAACAAGCGTGAGGTCTGGCGTGTCCAGCTTACCCTCTCCAAGATTCGTCGTGCTGCCCGGTATGTTCTTTCGGCTGTCGCAAAGTGGTCGCGTGGGATATCCCTTGGGCTAACAAACACCATAGTCAGCTTTTGACCCTCGACGAGAAGGACCCCAAGCGTCTCTTCGAAGGCAATGCCCTCATTCGCCGTCTCGTGCGTGTCGGTGTCCTCGACGAGTCCCGCATGAAGCTCGATTACGTCCTGGCCCTGAAGGTCGAGGATTTCCTTGAGCGCCGCCTCCAGACTTGCGTCTACAAGCTTGGTCTAGCCAAGTCCATCCACCACGCCCGTGTCCTCATCCGCCAGCGTCACATCCGCGTCGGCAAGCAGATCGTCAACGTCCCCTCCTTCATCGTCCGTCTCGACTCCCAGAAGCACATCGACTTCGCTCTCACCTCGCCCTTCGGTGGTGGCCGCCCCGGCCGTGTCCGCAGAAAGAAGGCCGCTGCCGCTGAGTCCAAGGGTGACGGTGGTGACGACGATGAGGATGACGAGTAAATGCATCGCCATTTGTGCTAAGGATTGGTCAAAAAAACTCTGGGAATGGTTGGCATACCAAATACCAACCATTGGGATCATCGGGGTGTTTATAGTCACGGCGTTCGCCAGAGGCAAAATGGAATGATTGCATCAAATACGGATACCACGAATGAATGTTACACAAAAGTCTTTTCTTGTTCAGTTCAGGGAACCTCAAGGCATCGTCTTACATGCGAACATTTGACAGGGAAATGGGTATCATGTTTGTCCAATGCAATGCTCATAAGCCATGCCTAAATATCTAGGTAGTCTAGACCAATTCATCCTTGCCCAGGAACTTGGCCATCGGGTCGTTCGCCGCTGTCCCTTTTTCTTCTGTACTCCTCCATCTCTTCCTCCGTAACACCGCCCATCATCTCTTCCGCTGTCCGTTTGGTCGCCGGCTTGTTCACCGGGGTGTCATCGGCCTTGGGAATCTCTACTTGCTGCTCCATCTGGAGTGCTAAAGAGGCTCCCGTGCGTTGCCGTTCAGAAGCTTCCCAAGCTAACTTGCCCTCCTCGCCCGTGCAGTAACTGTTCTTGACAACCGAATGACAACACTCGTAGCCCCATTGAAAATTTGACCACCAGCTGCCCCAGATAGATGTATGATTGTGAATGTAAACGTCCTCGGGGTACTTTGACTTAGCGATAACCTTTGGTGCACCCTTGATGAGACCGCTCTCGTCGTACTCGACATATTTTTCCGACTCGGTGATGACGTTCTTCAACTCGTCGGGCATAGTGTACTGCGAGTTGTCGCCGTACAGATCCTTGAGCTTCTTCTCACGTTCTTCGCGCTTCTTGTCGGCCTCTTCCTTCTCCCTCTTCCTGTAGAATTCTCCGGCTGTAGGGTTGGCTTGCAAATGTTTTGTCGTGTCACCACTTTTCTCCTGGGCCTCCCAGGCGTATCGCTGTGCTTGCTCGAACTCGCCGGCGTCGCCTGAGCCGCGCATAAAACCTTCCTCTGCAAACAAATTCGCAGCTTTGTCCACGGTTGCGCCGCTGTCCACAAGGGATCTCGTCTTTGGGTCGTACTTGGCGGATTCCAGGTCCAGGTTAACCAGGTACTTCGCCGTGTCCTCTCGTATTCTCAGCTGGCGAGTAGCTGTGCTTTGATGCTTGCTCATGTCGTTCTCTTCGGCGTACTTGTCGCCATCGTCCTGTTCCTCCTCCCCCGTCTCGCCTTTGGCCAGTGCCTGCTTCCTCAGCTTCTCCATCTCGTTGAACTCCTCGACGACGTTGCGATATTCCTTGGGGTCGTATCCATTCCAGCGATCGCGCTTCGCATCCCAGCCAAGCTTGACGTCCTGAACGACCTCGTCGGCCTGGATGTCTCTGCCGGTCCACTTTGCGCCTTTCGCTCTCGGCCGACTGAGGCAATCCTTGGCTTTGTGCGTCATGGCGCCGCAGTTTTCGCATGCGCCTTTTCGGTACTTTGTGGCAGCTGGGCCGGCCTTGCGACCGCGATCATACCATTGCGACTGCTCATTCTTCTTCTGGATACGTTGATGCTCGAGGTAATCGGTCTGATCATCGCCTTCTTCGCCGGCATAAAAGGGACGTTTACTGATGAAAGAGGGAATGTAGATATTCTCCTCCTTTGCGGCGGCGGACGCCTTGGGATCGGGCTTTCTCGGCGGTGGTGGCGGCGGCATCTTGGCGGTTTGTGAGGGTATGAGAGGGTTGTTGCTGGATAGAGTTCAGGCGACGGCGCATTCTCGTCGCGAATTTAGGTCAGGAAAGGCACCTGTGCTGATGTGTCTTATGTAAGCAGCCGCTCTCAGATGGTAAAGAATAGCAAGGATGACTTGAAATTGAGCGTCGAATGGTCTTATTGTCCTTCTTAATTACCTTTTGGTTCTTTCAATTTGAAGATTATCTATTTCAATTGCTCCAATACCAAATTCTTCAAGTTTATTCCCTAGCAAGTCTTTGGCTGAAGAGACGACTAATAGCACCTTTTGGTTTAAGGTAAGGTATTCATCCATCCGTAAGGTAAGCCTGCGGAACGCTTCAGGCTGCCGGAAGATGCCCCACCAGAAAGCACCTTGCCGCGCTTGCTCTAGTAGGGGAGGTAGCACGGTTTGCTGGAAGCCTTGAAGGAGCACCGAGTCACGCGTATTGCCACATGACTGCGCGGACCCTGGGCGTTCCCTCTTGGCCCGGCACGCGTCGGATCTTGCATCAACATGACCTGGTCGCGTCGTGAATACGCTTCTTTGTGTCATTGAACCCGTCTTACCATGCACCAAGCTGGGTGCTTTTATTCTGTATCATGATACTGGCCTCCTTTCCACCATCTCATCCTCCATGAGTGTTTTGGTCCTCCACCATGGACCTCTTCCGTGTTCGGCTGAACTGCATCGACCACTACCAGGCGACGCCGACGCATTACGATCCCCAATTACGGAATGATGTCGGTCCTGCACAGGCGAAGAAGGGCCCCAAGGTTCCAGTCGTGAGGATTTTTGGATCGACAGAGACGGGACAGAAAGTTTGCGCTCATATCCATGGCGCCTTCCCATACGTCTACGTCGAGTATCGCGGCAGCTTAGAGCCCGAAGATGGTAAACATGCAAAAGAACCGCTTAAGTGATCCTTGCTAACTATCAAAAGTGGGCGCATACATCTATCGACTTCATCTTTCCATTGATCATGCCTTGGCTGTCAGCTATCGACGTGATCAATTCGGAGAAAATGCAAAGTTCGTCGCCCGCATCACCCTTGTCAAAGGGGTGCCGTTCTACGGCTTTCACGTTGGATACCGCTTCTTCCTGAAGATCTACATGTTCAATCCTATCGTCATGACAAGATTGTCCGACTTGCTTCAACAAGGCGTCATTCTCAAGCAGAAGTTTCAACCCTACGAAGCCCATCTCCAGTACCTACTACAGTTCATGACCGACTACAATCTGTACGGGTGTGGCTACTTGGATGTATCTGATGTATACTTCAGAGACCCTATCCCTTCGTTTGAGAAAGAAGGAAACTCCCAACACCTCTGGCATGATCGGACGATTCCCAAGACTCGAGTCCTCGATGGCTTGACTCTACCGAGGGTCAGTCACTGCTCCATCGAGGTAGACATTTGCGTCCAACACATCACCAACCGACGAATGGTGAAGGAGCGCCGGCTCCACCACGACTTTGTTGAGCGTCTTAAACCACTCCCAGAAGATTTCAAGCTTGTTTACAGTATGGCTGGCCTGTGGAAGGACGAGACTCGTCGCCGCAAGTTGAAAATGCCAAATGCAGATCCAGGAAGCAGCCCCTTTCCTGCAGAAGTTTTGGTGTCAATGTCTGCAAATAAGCGCGACTCGCAACCGCAAGGGTGGATTCACGAGGAAGAGTACAAAGAAGAAGTCGCAAAGCTCATCGAAAGCGAAAAGGGGTTGGAAGAGTCCGCGCCGCCGAGCTTTGAGACCTTTGTGGACCATTCGCCGCTGGAGGCTGCCGTGAAGACTGCACTCCAGTCAGTAGAGGATTTATATCCATCCAACCTTTTGCCGGCCCTCGGATTACCGTCAAATCATGTACCAACAAACAAGAATCCGGCCAGCAGTATTGAGGTTGACGAGCAAGGCGTACTCAATCTCGGAGTTGATGATTACGACCCTTATCCAGCCGATTCTGACGAAGAGGCTCTTATTCAAATGGGCGAGCCGATGACGAGGCAGGACGGTCAAATTAAAGGCCCTGGCATCAAGGGAAGGCCATCTGTCACTAGTGATACTGGATCCAGAAGCGAACCTGCCGCTGTCGACCCGACAATCAAGATCATCAACGGGCTGGGGATGCAATACGAAGGCGTCTGTGCCAGCAGGTTGAAGACCGGCAACCCACCAGTGGTGCCGGTTTGGGACGATCTGCTCGATATGGCTGAACAAGAAGGGCTCGTGTCCAAACTCAGCGAGCCATCAATCTTAGGTCATTGCCGCACGGAATCGGTCAAGCGATCTATATCTCCACATGCGACAGTGTCTTCTAACAAACGCCCAAGAACCGAGCTTCCAGTATCTCCCGTGTCCAATACGGTGACGCCCAAACGGTCGCTCAAAGGCATCCTAAGCAATAGCCCAGCTTCCGAGAAGCATCAGGTCACGATGTTGCCCCCAAATTCTCAAGACAAGCCACGATCATCTCAGAATGCAGGCTCCAAGTCCGCGGCCAACCACTTGTTGGGTTTTCCAGTGGTCAAAAGCCAGGAGGACCCGGGCACGAAGCTTCGATTGAGTCAGATGAGCCAGCCCCGAGCTTCGCAACAAGCTGAAAAGGATTCCCAAAAACATGTTTCCTTCAGTCTAGCGCCCGAAGAGACACGAAGCAAGCCCATACCGATTACTCCAGCAAAGAAGGTTCGAATCGCTACTCCAGAAACCGACTCAACAGGGACCGAAACAGGAACGGAAACAATGCTCCATCGGATTCAGACAGCGGTCGGATCCTTCTCCGCAAAGCGTCAGTGTGTGATTGGAGTCCTGCCACCGGCTCCCAAACTTATCACGTCGACAATGAAGGACTTGCAGATTCCCGACATGATTTACCAAGATGCCTACTACAGCGAAGAAAAGGACGTCCCGGCTCGTCCCAGAGAGTATGCCGGCCGAGAATTCCGGCTCGAGAGCAACACTCTGCCCTATCTGGCGGAATTTGACCCAACTGGGACATCTGCCGCCAGCATGGGCATTAAATCAGACACACCCATTGATAAGGCCAAGAACGACGTGCGTTACAACGCCCAAGCAAGCTTGTGTTCATACCGAAGCTGGGAGATAGCTCAACCGCCGCCAAGCGTCAAAGAAGTTCAAGATTGGTGGAACAAGAAGCATCCCGTACAGAAAGAGCGAAAAAGCGTTAGGGCAAAGATCACGGGCACCCCTCAAGCTACAAGACGCAACCTCTCCCAGATTGACGGGCCTACCCCGAAAAACAAGCATGGCTTCAAGTACTCGCCCAAGAAAAAATCGACCAGCGTCAAGCATGAGGCGCAGTACATGAGTACTATGGCCCTCGAGGTTCACGTCAACACGAGAGGCAAATTTGTTCCCAATCCCGACGAGGATGAGGTCCAGTGTATATTCTGGTCTATCAAAGCAGATGGCACCGCCAGCAGCAGTCAGGAAGCTTCAGGGGGTATAATTGCTGGTGTTGTTGTCTTATCGCCAGACGGATCCCTGGCCCAGAGGATGCGGCGGTATGTTTCCGCAGAGGTCATTGAGGAATCGTCTGAGCTCGATGTCATGGTTCGCATGGTACAAATTGTCAGAGACCACGATCCTGATATCCTGACAGGGTATGAGGTTCATGGCAGCTCGTGGGGTTATCTCATCGAACGAGCCCGAGTAAAGTACGATTACGACCTATGTGACGAGTTTTCTCGTATGAAGAGTAACTCTCACGGCCGCATCGGAAAAGAAAACGATCGATGGGGCTTCAACACAACATCGACGATCCGCGTGACTGGCAGACACATGATCAACATTTGGCGAGCCATGAGGGGAGAATTAAATCTGCTTCAGTATACCATGGAGAACGTCGTCTGGCACGTTTTGCACCGCCGCATTCCTCACTACTCCTGGAGAACCCTGACACAGTGGTACAACAGCAGTAGACAGAGGGATCTCGATAAGCTGACGCGCTACTATTTGACACGAACGAGGATCGACATTCAGATATTGGAGTCAAACGAACTCATCCCGCGAACAAGTGAGCAGGCCAGACTTTTAGGAGTGGACTTCTTTTCGGTCTTCTCTCGCGGTTCTCAGTTCAAGGTCGAGTCCATCATGTTCAGGATTGCGAAGCCCGAGAACTTCATGCTAATTTCCCCCAGTCGGAAGCAAGTCGGCGGCCAAAACGCCCTTGAATGTCTCCCGCTGGTGATGGAGCCTCAAAGCGACTTCTACAACAGCCCGCTATTGGTACTCGACTTTCAGAGTCTGTACCCTAGTGTCATGATTGCTTACAACTTATGCTACTCGACATTCCTCGGCAGGATTGTCAATTGGCGGGGGATGAACAAGATGGGCTTCACCGAGTATCAGAGACACAAGAGGCTGCTGGAGCTCCTCAAGGACCATATCAACATCACACCCAACGGGATGATGTACGTCCGGCCTGAGATTCGGAAATCTCTCCTGGCAAAGATGCTTGGCGAGATTTTGGAGACCAGAGTCATGGTCAAGAGCGGGATGAAGCAAGACAAGGACGACAAAACATTGCAGGCGCTGCTGAATAACAGGCAGTTGGCGCTGAAGCTTTTGGCCAACGTCACCTACGGATACACATCGGCATCTTTCTCCGGCCGTATGCCTTGTTCTGAGATTGCCGACAGTATAGTTCAGACAGGTCGCGAGACGCTCGAGCGAGCAATTGCGTTTATTCATTCACAGGAGCAATGGGGCGCGGAGGTCGTCTATGGCGATACGGACAGTCTGTTCGTGTACCTCAAGGGCCGGACCAAGGATCAGGCGTTTGACATTGGCAACGAGATTGCCAAAGCCATCACTGATATGAACCCTAGGCCGATCAAGCTCAAGTTTGAAAAGGTCTATCACCCGTGTGTTCTCCTGGCGAAGAAGCGCTACGTGGGTTACAAGTACGAAAGCAAGGATCAAGTCACGCCCGAGTTCGACGCCAAAGGCATTGAGACGGTGAGGCGTGATGGCACGCCGGCAGAGCAAAAGATTGAAGAGAAGGCCCTCAAGCTGCTGTTTGAAACGGCGAACCTCAGCGAGGTCAAGGCCTACTTCCAGAAGCAGTGCGAAAAGATCATGCGCGGGTCCGTCTCGGTGCAGGACTTTTGTTACGCGAGGGAGGTGAAGCTCGGCACTTACAGCGATAAGGGCCCGCCGCCACCGGGGGCGCTCATCAGCACCAAGAAGATACTCGAAGACGCACGCGCCGAGCCGCAGTACGGAGAACGAGTGCCGTACGTCGTTATCACGGGGGCCCCGGGGGCGCGCCTGATCGACCGGTGCGTAGCGCCCGAGGACCTCCTCAACGACTCGCATTCGCAGCTGGACGCGGAATACTACATCTCCAAGAACCTCATCCCGCCGCTCGAAAGAATCTTCAACCTGGTGGGCGCCAACGTGCGGCAGTGGTACGACGAGATGCCCAAAGTGCAGCGGATCCGGCGGGTGGACCAGACGCTCGGGGCGGCTGGAGGGCTCGGCAGCAAGAAGACGCTGGAGTCGTACCTCAAGTCGGCGTCGTGCATCTCGTGCAATATCAAGATGCAGGTGGAGGGCGTGCTGTGCGGCAAGTGCCAGCAGGATGCTCCCTCGTCGTTATTCAACCTGCAGACGCGACTCAAGGACGAGGAGAGGAAGTACATGGACGTGGTGAGGATCTGCCGGAGCTGCTCGGCCCTACCGGCGGCGGATGAGGTGCCGTGCGATAGCAAAGACTGTCCCGTGTTTTACTCGCGGGTCAAGCAGGGCGCGCGGCTCAAGACGGAGAAGAGCGCGCTGGAACCTGTTATTCGGGAGTTGGTCGCAAAGGCTGGGAGAGCCGCGTTGGAGTGGTGAGGTTGTACGAGTGTGTGCGGATACGCTACTTTTCATTACGGGTGTGGTCATTGTCATTTTGGGCGTTTGGCTGGATACCCTGGGATCTGGACTCTGGATAAGGTCAGTGTTGGTGTTGATGTCGGTGATCGGTCTAAAGATGATGGGGCGGCATGGCGGGTAAAGCGCACCGGCCCTCAGGCAGGATACAAATTATTGATAAGGAGGTTATGATGTCACGGCAAGGGCAAGCCACTGTTTTGAGTAAGGTGGGTGGATGGGATTGGACGGACGCGACTCCGTCCGATTTGCGTGTACTGTACAGAACAACGGAGTATCGGTAGAATACCTCAGACAAGCACTACTTATCAGACGCATGCACGAAGGTAGAGATGGCGGCTTAGGTAGTGTATGGAGCGTGTGACTGATGACATCGTGAGGAGATGGGAGAAGGAGACCCAAGAGCCGAACTCTTTCAGTGCTACATACCTACTTGATATGAAGCTACTACTGCTTAGTGACCTCACTGTTCGCCAGGGGTCCCCTCTCCTTGTTTCTCGCGGGGTAAAAGGTTCAGGAAAGATGAGGTGCAGGGATGGTCATTACCGACTCGACCGCAGAGCCACAGGGCAGTTGGAGTCTTGGAGACTTGCCCAGAGGCGGTAGGGAACAGCGGTCTGCGGGTCATTCGGAACCCTCAGCTCAGTGGCTATTACCGCTTCACTTTCCACTTTCCACTTTCCACTCTCCACATTCGGGCAATCTGGAAGGCACACCGTAAGGCCACTTCATACTTTCTCTTCAACAGCTTGTACGCAGTAGGTCGCCTTGGCTCTCGATCCGCCCTGAACCATCTTCCTGTGCTCCTGTCCATCCGTAAAGAAAAGGAAACTTTTGGTCTGCTGAGTAGTGCTGCAACCCTCTGCGCTCCGTCCCCATCCATCCATTCGCCTGTTGCTTGCAGCCAGCTTTCACAAGGGGCAAGACTGCAAAGCTACCATCACATGACGGCGTCAGAGCGGCCTATTGGACGTTCCCAAGGTTCACAGTGACCTGCATATTTCTCTCCATTGTCTTACCTGGTCCATTTTCTCGATCCAGAAACGCCCTGTGGCCAAGACCCAGATCCACGAGAGCTATCTTGTCCACTTTCTATTGTCCACCACACGCACACAAAAAAAGTTACCGAATACCTACCTAGCTGAGCCTCCTAAACGGCACCAAGCTTCCGTTGACTTGCCCATCCTGAAACAAAGAGCTTCCATTCTCGCTCCACAAACACCACCACCAACTGTCGCCACAAGCTTCCCCGATCCAATACGACTCTCCCCTCGCCCGAACACTCTTCGTCTCGTAAACGACCTAAGCGCCGATGGTCCCGCCTATCTCTCCTCTCCGCCTGCTGTCCTTCCGTTAGCAGCACTGCTACAAGTGCCGCGCGAAGAGTGAAGGAGTTCAGACAAAGTGCGAGAGGGAAGCAACCCAGCAAAAGCTCCGGGGACCGCGCGATGGGGGGCTGGACCGGCTTCCTCATCACCTACCTCCTAGGAGGCCTGACCTTCCTGCCCTTGGTGATTCTCACCGTCTTCGCCCACGCCTACTTGACCCTCCCGTACCGACAGGATGCCGAAACGAATCGCGACGCTGTCGCCGACGCCGCCAACACTGCCGCTGGCGGTCCGGGCTCCATCGTCCAGCCCGGCGACGACCTCACCGCTCTCGAGGCCGTGAAGGCCGCTGGCAAGGACGATGCCACCGCGGCGGCCACGAAGCGCTCGGCGCAGGATAACGATGTAGCGGCGGGGTACTTTGCCGTGTGCAGAGAGTACACTCCCATGGGCATCAACGCGAAGCCCATCGAGAGGTCCACCCCGACCGGCTCGACTACCGTCGCCACGCCGAGCCAGAGCGTCTATCAGACCATGTACAGGAGCATATTCGAGCGGAAACCGACGCCAGGCCCCTTGGATAACAGGAACGGGCTGAGCCAGCGTCCCAAAAACGCTGGCAATGTCTTCTATGTCGTACTGAGGTATGCGACCTCCATTGCGATCCGTTTGCAACTGCTCGTCTACTGCGGAGACTAACCTGCCACAGACACGGGCACTTGATGCTCTTTGACGACGATGAACAACTCGAGGTCCGGCACGTGGTATCGCTATTGCACCACGACATTAGCATATACTCGGGAGGAGACGTCACACCAGAAGGCGAGCTCTACATCAAGAGGAATGCGCTGTGTTTGTCGCGGAGGTCAGATGGGCCCGAGTTCGGACCGGACAGCCAGCTCTCCAAGCCGTTTTACCTCTTCTCCGAAAACTGTTCTGCCAAGGAGGACTTTTACTTCGCCATGCTCCGTAACCAGGAGCAAAACTTTGGCGCTGAGAGGAAGGCGCCTAGGCCGAAGCAGTTCGAAGTCAAGAACATTATTGCGTTGGTCCAGAAGCTGCACTCGTCCGAGGAGCACCTTTCCACAAGGTGGCTGAATGCCATGATTGGTCGGGTGTTCCTGGGCATTTACAGGACGACGGACCTTGAGCACTTGATTCGTGAGAAGCTCACCAAGAAAATTGCCCGTGTCAAGCGGCCTGCGTTCCTCACCAATATTGCTATTCGCCGCATCGATACCGGCGAGTCTGCACCTATCATCACGAATCCGCGCCACAAAGACCTGAATGTTGAGGGAGAATGCGTGATGGAGGCCGATGTGAAGTATACCGGCAATTTCAGAATGGAGGTCGCCGCGACGGCCCGTATAGACCTAGGCGCACGCTTCAAAGTCCGCGAGGTCGATCTCGTTCTCGCAGTGGTCATTAAGAAGCTCGAGGGCCACATGCTGTTCAAGATCAAGCCCCCGCCAAGTAACAGAATATGGCTGTCGTTCCACAGCATGCCAAAGATTGAAATGACAATCGAGCCGATTGTGAGCGCGAGGCAGATTACGTACACCATTATTTTACGACAGATTGAGAATCGAATCAAGGAGGTCATTGCCGAGACGCTGGTGCAGCCGTTCTGGGACGACATGCCCTTCTTCAACACGGAGCACAAGAAATGGCGAGGCGGTATTTGGGACGACGACGACGCGGTTGTCAGCTCACCTAGTACGGAGACCAACGTGGCTGGAGAGGGCGATGTGGAGGGAGTCGATCACCTTGAAGAGACGGGTGATTTGCAAAGCGACATGAGACCGATCGAAAAGAGCCACAGCATGCCAATCGTTGAGAACACACAGCCGACCGGCTTGTTCGGCAGGAAGATACAGAACAAGGGCCCAAACAGTCCTTTGAACAGTTCTTCTACGAGCATTGATGCTATGGGCTCACCGACTACTGCGACACCGATACCTAAATCGTTCAGGTCGCCGTCGATATCGAGTCCAGCGAACCCTGTGGTCGGCACCGACGCGGCGCACGCAGACGTGTTCAAGCCCTCGTCCTCACCCCCAGACCATGCCTCCAGCATGATGGCAGCGCTGTCAGCAAGGTCAACGCCGGTAACGACGCCATCTGAGACGCCCGCCAGACCACCACCCGTCGCGAAGGCGCCGAGCCAGTCCTCTGCATCCTCACGCGAAGCCACAGATAATGAGACCGAGTCGGACCGCACGCCGATGGCTAAGGAACGCCGAGGCACAGCTTCGTCTTCGGAGTCGATGCGCAACAATGAATCAGCTGACCCGAACTCACCTACCTCATCTTCAAGAGCCTCTGTCAGAAGCGCTACAGGCTCCATCTCCAAGGGCCTTTTCCGGAGGGAGAACACGGGCAGCACGAACTCGACCGCGTCGACAAACGGCGAGGGAAAGCGCACGACTCTCGCCGCCGTAGCCAACGCTGCGGTTACGGCGAGACAGTGGGGATGGAACGCGATACAAAAGCACAAGGACGCCAAGAATGGCGCTTCGACGGAACAGAATCCCCCGCTCGACCTCAACCAGCCGATGGGCAGGGGCCAGCCTCTGCCTCCGCCGGGTACGCCGTTGCCTCCACCTGTGAAAGGCTCCAAGGTGACGACGATCCCTGTGCCGAAGCGCAAGCCCATTGCACCGCCGAATCTCCCTGAACGGCCTCACTCGGCGGCGACGTCGGAGGGCAAGTCGGAGCGCAGACCTGTGCCGCCTCCGCCCCTGCCCTCGCGGCGTCATCTGGACACGAGTAAGAACGCGGACGGTGGCGGTGAAAGTTTGTTGGTTGTCGAGGCGCCGCTCGACTCGGAGCCCTCAACGCCCATGGAGGAGAGTATGCCCCCGCCGGCGTACGTTCAGCCATGGGCCGAGGACGTTTCTGACGGCGAAGGGGATCCAGATGTCGCGGTGGGGAAGACAAGAGGTCGTGATCGTGTGGTTGTCGATGACAAAAAGGAACACAGTAACGAAGAGGAGGAGAGCAAGAGTAGGACGCCGCCTCCGTTGCCGCAGCGTAGGGAGACGAAGCTTGAGGATCCCATCGTGGTGAAGCCAGCTCATGCTCCAGGTGTCGACGAGGATGACGATGATTATTCTGCGTGGATGGATGAGCAGGATGGGGGTGTTGTCGGTGTAGACGGGAGGTCGAGCGTCGAGGTGAAGTAATGATCTTGGCGGAGTGTCTGCGTTGTTGTGTTTCCAAATGTTTTGCTGGAGTTGGGCATCGTGATATTGGGCGTGGGCATAGGGCATTATTTTGGGATGGGATGGGATGTTTGGGGGTTTATGGAAACCGGGTTAGGCGGATCATGGAGTTTGAAGTATTTCTTCTCAAAGAGTGTAGGATACCAGACTCTGATCCGTATACATACATACATACATACATACATACATATCTACACGTACACACATGCCTTTACTCTATCTGCTGGCTCTATTGATGAACAAGATTCCATGGGCTTTTCGCTTCGTCGAAGATCCCTGGTGGCGATGGTGGTGGTCTACCATGTAAGGCCATTGAAGCACCCTCGCCCAGGTGAAGGGTTGATGTAAAGGGGGGGATCCCAGTTGAACTTGGACATGGATGAACGAGGCAGATTAGACCCGACTGAGT